ATGTAGATTACCTCATTACGGGTGTCAAGTGATGTTCTAATGAGCTTGGCGTATGCTGCCGATGGTACCCTGATTGTCCGCCTTCGGTGTTAGTGTTCGAATTATTTCCACTACGAAATCTTTGTATTTTTCAAGTTCGTAAAACTGCCGCTCTCTCACTGTAGATGCCAGCTGGTCTAGTTTCTCCCTCTCCCATCTTGGTTACTTTACACTTGTTGAACGCTGAGGTTATGGCGTCGGTGTGGGGGTTGACGGTGGTGGTGGGGTTCATGGTGGTGGTGTAGGTGTTGGGGGTTGACGGTGGTGGTGGTGGGTGTTGGTGGTTGACGGTGGTGGTGGGTGTTGAGGGCGGGGGGTGGTGTAGGGGTCTCTGGTGTTAATATCGATGCACCACAGCAAGGTATTGTCATGCGCCTCTCGCTCTCTCGTCACCAGCTCCCTCTCTCAACATTGGCGACTTTTTATAGTCATTATCTCTAAACATTTGTGTTCCGGGTTTGTGATAATATCTAGGTTCTTTATTTGGCACTTCAGGCACTCTGGTTCCTCCCACCAGAGGCGGCTAGTTTGTTGTGCACCCCATACTCGTCCTGTGAGTGGTAGTGTCGTTTTATTTTACATTTCCATTAACAATTCCATTCTAACCTCCACACCATGTAACTGTTGTCAGCTAGTTAAACATATTTGTCAGTACAGTATATATAAATTTACAATAAATTATTGTATATTGAAATTAGGTCTTTTGGTAATACTAGGGTATATTACTTTTGGTAATGCACAGTATTTTATTACGAGAATATAAACATGGTGCTTAGTATGGGTCTTCACAGTACACTGCTTAATCTCGTACATTATTTATATACCGGAAGTGAAACTTGGATACAGTGCAAGGATTTCGATAACGTTACTATATTGAAGTAAGATGGTTTGCCATTTCGTGCAAGGTGTTCAGATTTCTTTCTTAAGGGGTGACTTGACCAGTTTAAGATGGGGTGATTGTGTCCCCGTGTACTTTGTCCACACACTTGACCAGTTTAAGATGGGGTGATTGTGTCCCCGTGTACTTTGTCCACACACTTCCCTTACTGGCGTGACCTGCCAGAGGTGCCTGCAGCCCTGTTGTCTTCCTGCTGTGACAGTCTCCTGTTCCACCTTGTTACTGGTGACTTATGGTGTCATCTTAGGGTCGTCTAATGACACTCCCCCCCCCCCCCCCACTCTCTCTCCCCTCCCTCCCCCCTCTCCCCCCCTCTCCACACAAAGCATGGGGGGGGGGGGGCGTGGCTGACTGGACAAGCTGGACGCGTGATTCTGTGGTCCCGGGTTCAATTTCCGGCGCCGGCGAGAAACAATGGGCAGAGTTTTTCACCCTGATGCACCTGTTACCTAGCAGTAAATAGGTACCTGGGAATTAGTCAGCTGTCACGGGCGGTTTCCTGGGGTGTGTGTGTGGTTGGGGGGGGGTAGTTGGTAATGGTTGAGATGCGGGCCGAAAGAGCACAGCTCAACCCCCGCAAGCACAAGTAGGTGAATACACTCCCTCGTCCCACCCCCACTCTTCCCTTTTTTTTTGGGGGGGGGGGTAAAGAGGATGGAGAAGCATAGGTGAAGGGAAGTATAGAAGTGGGAAATAGTGAGAGGTATGATAGCAGGCGGGCTGTCCGCCTTGCTGACACGATGTTATGATAGCAGGCGGGCTGTCCGCCTTGCTGACACGATGTTATGATAGCAGGCGGGCTGTCCGCCTTGCTGACACGATGTTATGATAGCAGGCGGGCTGTCCGCCTTGCTGACACGATGTTATGATAGCAGGCGGGCTGTCCGCCTTGCTGACACGATGCTATGATATCAGGCGGGCTGTCCGCCTTGCTGACACGATGCTATGATAGCAGGCGGGCTGTCCGCCTTGCTGACACGATGTTATGATAGCAGGCGGGCTGTCCGCTTTGCTTACACGATGTTATGATAGCAGGCGGGCTGTCCGCCTTGCTGGCACGGTTATGATAGCAGGCGGGATGTCCGCCTTGCTGACACGGTTATGATAGCAGGAGGACTGTCCGTCTGGCTGACACGATGTTATGATTGCAGGCGGGCTGTCCGCTTTGCTGACACGATGTGTGGGTGTTGGCAGCTAAGCTAAGCTGGCTCCCTCTTGTCGGGGAGCTGTGAGTGTGTGAGAGGTTCTTCACATGTGTTTCACCATATATGGATGTCTATAGATGAATACTGTGTAGCATTCATATATACACACTCCGATGCTTCCACACATGTTCTGTTTAAGGCTCTTTATTTTATTATTATTATTTATCGAGTTCATACATACACACATACATACATATACTTACCCATACACACACATACTCACCCATACACACACATATATATATATACATACACACATATATACATACACACATATACATACACATATATATATACATACACATACATACACACACACACACATACACACATACATACTGAATTTTTCAATTATGGGGTATTTGGTCAGTATTTCATCTGGGAATTATGTACTGTGGGGCGGGGTTATCATCTAGTGAATCGAGGCTCTTGGGCCACCAGCTGTGGGAGTGGGGCGTCTCATCTTGGGCCACTAGCTGTGGGAGTGGGGCGTCTCATCTTGGGCCACCAGCTGTGGGAGCGGGGTGTCTCATCTTGGAGTAAGTAATCTTGCTAACATTGGGTCCTCTAACATTGGGATAGTGTTCCACACCCTGATGGCTTGGTGCTGTAGTCTGATGTTTAGTGACTGTGTGTTCAGGAGTTCGTGGAGCTCCTGGATTGATTGATCATATGGTGGACGGTGTTTTGCTGCTCTCCTTAGCGCCTTATTTTGCACTGCTTGCAGTTTTTGCATGTTAGTTTTCTTTATGGTGTGTAGTGGTACTGGGGGATACTCTAGATGCGGCCGAACTAGAGCCTTATATAGGTGGATCTGGATGTTAGTACTGAGGCTTCGGAATCTCCTCAATTTTCAATTTTCCTAAGGCTGCTTTGGCTTTGTTTAGTCGGTCCCTTACATGAATTTGTATCCCTGTTCTATTTATCATAAGTCCCAGTATTCTGCCTACCTCCTCATATTGGATCGGATGGTTGTCAAGGATGATGGGGTCCAGGTTTCTTTTCGCAATGTGTATTATCTGAAACTTTTGTTTGTTGGTGCTAATTTTCCATTGCTTCTCAAAGTTGTTAGAGTTCAATTGCTGCCTTGGTCTTGTCGGCTAGTAGCGGCTTTGATGGTCCCGGTTGGCAATTTATTTGGGTGACATCGTCAGCGTATGTGATGTATTCTCCATGTTGGGGTAGGTCAGCTGTATACATGTTGAATAGAGTGGGGGAGAGGCAGCTTCCTTGTGGTACTCCACTTTTCAGTTCTATTGCGTCACCCAAGTAGCTGCCGATATTAAGCCTAGCAGTTTTGTTGTCTATAAAGCTGCAGAGAGTAGCAGTAAATCTCTCAGGAAGCCCTAGTTCAGATATCTTATATTTTAGGCCTGTGTTCCACGACATGGTTAAAACGAATTGCAACCGGGAGTGCTACTGCCCCCACACGGATCCTGCAGTCTGAGAGACAAACAAGGGTTTTACACAATACCCCCCCTGCACCCAGGCTCTGTCAACAAGCTGTTCTACCTCTTCGCCTTTACTTCATTACACAAAGAAATCACAAACCCGGGTGCATGGGGGAATTATGTAAAACCCTGGTTTGTCTCGGAGAGACGGCAGGATCCATGTGAGGGCAGTAGAACTCCCGGTTGCAATTCTTTTGACCATGTTGTGGCACAGTCGATTAAGGCTCGTCTGGGATCCTCTCGGACGTAGGTTCGAACCCACATCACGGCCCACGTGGATTTGTACTACCTGTACTTCAGCTTGTATCAAGGTTCCTCAAAGATCGGACTACTAACCTTACCCAGGATATACCTACCTACTATACTGCCCCACACCAACTGTCTTAACTTGTGGGGTATCTACTTAAATTTAAATTTTTTTAAATTTTGCCCGAAGGGGCGAGTTTATTGGACAGTGCCACTCATCTTGAGTGGACATACCACAATAGCAGCATGTACAACACTTCCCAATAGGAAGAAAACCCGCTGGGTTGTTCATATCTACTTATTGCTAGGCAAACAGAGGCTGAAGTGAACCTTGCCCAGCTATTTCTGTCCCACCCGGTAATATAACCCGGGATCCCCTTATTGAGAGTCAAGAAAGAAGCCAACTGTATTAGGAGACCCTTTTTGTTTGTATTTACTATGCAAATGTGTTCTAATTTGTGCAGTCAAAATTTAGTGTCTTTGCTAGATGCATTACTGTATCTTGAAACATTACATCTTATTGTTTTGTATTCAAAGCACACATTCAACATCTCACTGTGGTTCCTGGGACTCATTTCAGCAACTGTTATTAAAATCGCATAGGAACATAGTTTTCTCAAAGATAATGACATCCTTGATAAAATGGATAAAAATGAGAAATGGAAAAAATTGTACACCTGCCAATCTCTGCCACCAGTGTTATCTATATAAAGAAGAGTGTAATGGAACAGTAGTGGTAGAGACATAGCTGGCAGAAACAACACCGAAGAGCCAGTAGAGGGTGAAAGGTGGAGGAAGGTAGCAACTGATGATGGAGACAGTGGTGGGCTACCACAATGGCGCCTCAGAATATCAAGTCCACTTCTATGACGTCCAGGTAATGTTTCCACTCCCCCATACAGCAATCTCCTAGTGTTTTGGTTTGTTTCGTATGTTATCTCATACATGTTGGGTCTAATGCAATGACTAATGACTTATTTCTCTCATCTACATTTAAAATTTTAAATTGTGCATTCAGTCCCTGGTTTAGTACTAGTGATGGCACGTTCCATCCAGGGTGGGTACTGGCGACGGTGCGTTCCATGCCAGGAAGGGTGCTGGAATGACGATACTAGTATTTAATCCATGACCATTATTGTTGTAATGGTGTTGTCTTTGCAGGTTGATCATCGACAGGTGGGCTTTCAGCGGGTGCGGCAAGAGTTTAAGTTGGAGAACATCCGCCTCCACCATAGTGTGCCTCACTTATTTGTCTCCTCACAGGTAAGCATTTGCTTGTCTCCATGCAGGTTAGATGTGTTCCTTGTGCGTGTTTGCAGTGGGTGTTATCACCCTACATATTGATAACCTTCATTATAATGCCATACACACCTTCACTATTAAGTTAACAAATGGTTTTATCCTGCTCCCTCACCTTAAGCCTTTGTCACTAGTTAATAACCATAAGTGTGTGCAGATGACTTATTATTGGCTATAAATACACAAAGGACAGACCAAATTGCCATTTGTATACTGTACTCTGACCCCCAAAAATAAAGAGGAACTTCATAATTTTAATGATTAATTTAAGCAAATTTTATTGGACAGTTGTAATAAGTTCAAGGCTCTGATGGTGCAAGTAAATGAAATGCTATTTCCATGTTTATTGGACAGATTTAATACTGTACATCCTAACTATATTCCTGAGTGTACTTAAAGAGGCAGATAAGAGGTTGAAAATGTTTTGCACAATTATCATTTATAGGCACAATCATTATGCATATTTAGAGAAATATATTAACAAATGTGTATAACTTGCTATATGATTGAAAATTTTGACAAATTGTCAACAAAAAAGTAAATTGCCCCAAGTGTGGATTGGGGCTGGGACAATGTGATCTGGATTTTAGAGATGCCATTGTACAAATTTCTTGTGATGGTAATATAATATTTACAACGTGTCGTCCAAAAGTAAGAGTACAGTGCCTATAGCTAGCATGGATGGTAGAAGTAGAGGACCTGAGGAAGAAGGCATAAGCAATCCTAACTTCTCCTGGGCCAAGTGTAGTACATATGTGTACTAAATTAGCCCTAAAATTGTATGTTAGATCTAGTATTACTTATTTAGGCCTAGAACAAGTTTGGTTTATGGTTGCTCGTCAACTTTTTTTGGTTTGCCTCGTAGTACAGTATTAATAGTGTTATTTTTCCTAGCCCATATTTTGTTCATTCCAGTCATAGTAACTTATAGGTGCCATCATCTTGGAAGATGGGTGGTGGATACCAGTTTTTCCCGAGAATATTTCTTCTGTAATGCAGTAGTAACTTCCTTATCAATGTAGGTTACATTTGTAATAGTATATTTATAATAGTATATTTTTAATAGTATAATTGTATATTTTTAATAGAACTGTATTAAGTGAATAATTATAAAGAAGGCACCAAGCCAGGAAGATTATATCATTCTGTGGTGAAGAACAGCAGCAAAATCCTAGATAAAATTAATTCTGCCAGTATCTGAGCTGAAAGGCCTATTACAGTATAATAGTACAGTATTCTGTAGTCTCAAGGGTGCAGTACAGTGCTAGTCAATTTTTAGTTGGACAACATTTTTAAAATTTTCATGCACAGGCTAATGTATAAAAGCTATATGAACTTCTCATTGTTTCAAATGAATTAGTTTTGATAAGTTCATTCTTTGATGGTACAGTTGCTGCACTATACAATATTTTAGCTTTGAATACATCTTGGCATACAGGTATTTGATGTTTAAATGATCCACTTTGCACAAATAATTGTCATGTTCATTAATGTCTACATAGTTTGTTGCTTATTGCAGTGGCAGCAACTCCACCGCATGTCATGCCTTTATCTCGGATACCGCATATTCTGGGCTCTGTACTTCAGTATGTGGGCCATTTGGGCCTGGGTAGGATCCATGGGATACGACGCAGATATTTCCATGAAAGGCTACTTCATGCTCTACATGACCAACTGGGGCATTTGGTTGCTTGCCATAGACACGACTATTCAAGCCATAAACGTTTTTCTCCATTTAAAGAAGATTTCCGAGGATGGTAGGTCCAATATTTAGTACATTATTATCTGTACCTTTATGAATATTATAAACCTCTCCAGAATTTGTTGGTATGTATTATATATTGTACTATAATGGAAGCTGCATGTTTTTTGGTGAAACAATATTATAAATTAAAATACTTTAATATTTTTTAGTATTTTACAAACAGGTGGTACATGTGCACATAAAATGAATGCATTTTTGTAAATTTCAGGTGATGCAACATATCCTTCAATGACACCTCTGATGAAAGTGTCGTGGATTCTCTCCAATGTCACGGGAGCACTTCACATCTTCATCACCTCGGCCTATTGGATCACTGTTTATCCTAATAGGAGTGGTGAGTCCCAGACATCAAAAAATCTCCCAGGTGTGTATGTGGAATATTCCTGTATATGAGGAGTGCCACCTGTTCAGTCTTCATAACCTGCTCAAGCCTACAGCAGTCTGCGTGCCTTTCTACTCGTCTGGGCCTTAACCCTTAAGCTGCTACAACCTTAGTGCACTGCACACTTTCTTTTCAATAAACTAAAATGCTTAATGCTTCATGCTTCAGCTTATACAACAGATTTTCTTTATTACTTAAAAGTACATACCTGTACAGGGTACCTATAAATTTTCAGCAGTGCTTGCTTATGCAGTAACATGTTCATTCATACCAACATTCTAACACATGATCGTAACTGCTCTGAATGGTCAACTTCTACTCCGTGTGCACCCCTTTATTGCCATGTGGTAATGGACTTTAAAAAAATAAGTTAACAGGGGAAAGTCTCTTATGATTTTATGAAGAAAACGCTAGTACAGTATTCCGTTTTACTGTTACGATGCTATGCAGTAATTTTTGAGAGTATACTGAACAAAGATGTCACGTCTTTCATTATAACCAGTTAAATATTGGCAAATGACCTGGGTTAGAGTTGAGTAGGGTGGGACAACTGAGTACAGTTCATTTACTGTATGCCCATGTTACCCCAGCAATAATGAGCACCTGGTTGAAGGTGTAATTCATTAGTGAATTACTTGTATATTCTACAGGAAATAGAGTAGGGTTAGGGTTCAAATGAGCGGTATTAGAAAGGGCTTTTAACCAACAAACAAGTCTTGAGAGCTTTTGCTCCTCTAGTTTAAAGCAGGCACAGCTTTTACCACCTCATTCACTCTTAAGTAACACTTCAGCCGAGTTTTATGACTTTTTTTTTTTTCAGTTATCTTCAGGCTTTATTTGTTGGGGGACAGATTGGAGAAAAACCCAGGTTTCTTCTTTGTACTGAAGTCAGGTGAAGGATTTAGTGACACTTTTTTGGAGTGGGAGGGGACTTGTTTCATGTACCAATGCTTGGGGAGTAGGGTGAAACACATTAATAAAAGGATATTCGATTCTGAACATTGTAAACATGCTTTTAGGTCTTGCTAGATTGGGCTTTATTTTCCAGTAAGTGGCTAGTTAGCAAAGCAGAATTTTATTTGCAGCACATGTTTTGCAAGACCTTGGTTTTTTTATCTGGAAAAGAGAATTTTGCAATGCTTGGCATACTATTTCCAAGATCTCTTGGATGAGCCCTAAGCCATTTGGGGGGGGAGTCAAGCAAAGCTACCATGCATAAAAATAAATGGGAAACTTGCCTGAACAGAACAAAGACATCAAAACCACTGGGAGGTGAAACAGCAGCCCAGACACTGTACTAGGAGGCACAAAATAGACCCGGAGAGTAGAACAGTCGAGGGGCCCAGTCTGCACGCACTGGAGACTCCCGACTGAGAAATGCATGGGTACAAATCTGGGCCAAGGAAAACTGACATGACTACCAAGCAGCTGAAAGAAATGAGCATTTATATTTGAAAACTGGACCAGAACATTTAAGAAACAGTGCACCAACTAGAAAGTACTAGGTGATCAAAGAGGGAAAAATACCCCAGGCCTAATGGGGAGACAGAATCATTGGAAATACAACCACAGCAGGAGAGTAGTCGCTAGTCTCCATTGAACCAGAATGACCTGACAAGAATATTGAAAAAGATCCCTATTGTAAAGTGTTGACCTAACCATAACAAGATATAGTCCTCTTATGGAAATGGCAGAACCTTGCCTAATGGAACAAGTAAGTTATTTATCTGAAAAGGTGAATAATAATGTTGAATGAAAGGATATTATATATTTATAAAATATTGCCTGTCCATTCATATAATTCACACCATTTACCATTCATACACCAACACATACACTAGCAATTATTCACAAGTGCACAAATATGCATTCGTCTCTTTATCATATCCCATTGTTCTTCACACTCGAACCCCCACCTCCTTGAGCAATCATGATGGTGGCCCATCATCTTCCCAACCATCCTCGTCTCCTACCCTTAGATTCACTTAAATACTCTAAACTTAATTACCATCCTTTCGTTAAGTCTGCTAAAAACTTCCTGTGTACACTTGTCAGCCTTGTGGGTTGAGCTCTGCACTCGCCATCCTTCGTGACACTCATGCCTACTCTATTCTCCTAACACAACACATGCTTCTCAGATTGTCCATTTCTACTTTTAATTATGGATGTGTTCACATTCATACCATAGTAACCTCTTGTATTCATGCAGAAGAGTAAGCACTTCTACTTCATGCAAGCCTTTGGTTGCATCTGTTTCTAATCAGGGTTTTATTAATCAGGGCATTCATTGCACCAGCCACATTACTTTCTCTCAATTTCCCTATTTGTCACTTTGTATGAATTGCTCCTTAAGCAGTCTGCTCAGTTTAAGTACCCTGGCATTTAAACTGAGCAGCCATTGCAGCATATCATCATTCACATTTATTTAATACACAATTTCCTTTCTCTTCACTACCATGACTTTTTCACATTCACTCTGAAGTCTTCTCACACCCCTAAACATTTCTATCATCTTCATACACCAAGAATAATATACATACACAGCATGTCTTGCTTACATTTGGCCTATGAGCACTACTAGGTTTAAACTTTTTTCCAATTCCCTTAACATGATCCTAAAATATAAATGGAACAACCAATGATGTTGCACAACCATTGCACAACCATGGCATACACCTACTTTAATATTGAACATGCAGTATTAAATATAATGCAATATTTAATATTGTTCCGTACACCATTAACTCTTGCACATATGCTGCCATGTACGTAAATTCACTTCATAAGTTACCAGAACACAGCAAATTTCATTCATGCTAATCACTCTAACAGGTCTTCTTTGTACTTTTCTGTAAATGTTTAAATTATTTTTTTTTAAATGGAGGGTATATGGTATATTTGATATTCTCACAAAGCTAGAATGTAGATATGAACAGTGTAATGATGTATAGTATTTAAAGATATTGTAAATTGTTTAAATAATAAGGGGGGGGGGGATATTCACATTGCACGTGGAGTAGCGATGAACATTGTGCTGTCTTCACACTTCATGTAATGTCTCATTCTAGTCAAGAACATGACATGGTTATTTAAGTGGATACCTTAACATATTTGATAGCTATTTCTGTGTCATGTACTGTATTGTTCATTATAGTACATATGTAATGTATTACAATAATAATGTTACCCATGTATTCATATACAGGTACCTCTTATACTCACAAAATGTTAACTTTACAGATGAGGAGCTGACTGAGATAGGCGTGAATACCCACATTATTCCTGGCCTGTACATCTTGTTGGACGCTGCCGTGGCGGCAACTCCTCGGCGTCTCCTTCATGCCTACCAACCCTCCATGTTCATTATCATTTATACATTGTTCAACCTAATATACTACCTCTGTGGAGGCCAGGTGTGTGTTGCTTAGATTAACATAATTGTAAATGAAAAATACTTTTGATATATAGTAAAGTATCTGGCATACAATGATTACATTCTCCCCTGACAGCTTGTTTGTTCAAGAGTTAATTTTTCACATGCTTAATTTTTGACAATCCTCAAATAAACTTTTAATCAGTTTTCCATAAATCTCTCCTCAGGATTACATTGGGCGTGTTGCACTGTACCCAACATTAGACTGGACACGTCCTGGAAGTACAATTGGAATTATGTCTGCCGTGATTCTAGGAGTCATGCCTTTCCTTCATGCTCTTCTTTGTGCTCTTTATGCTGCAAGAGTCAAAGTTTGGCAAATTCTAAAAATATCCAGGTAAGATTGTGTGTGTGTAATTACCTAAGTGTAGTCAGGGCGCCTGACAGCCGAGTGGACAGCGCTTCGGATTTGTAGTCCTGAGGTTCCGGGTTCGATCCCCAGTAGAGGCGGAAACAAATATGGGCAGAGTTTCTTTCACCCTGATGCCCTGTTCACCTAGCAGTAAATAGGTACCTGGGAGTTATAGCTGCTACGGGCTGCTGCCTGGGGGTGTGTAACAAAAAGGAGGCCTGGTCGAGGACCGGGCCACGGGGAAGTTAAACCCCAAAACCATCTCAAGATAATCTCAAGATAGTTACAGGATGAGAGCTATGCTCGTGGTGTCCCATCTTTTCAGCACTGTCGTATAACTCTTTGAAACTACCGACAGTTTTGGCCTCCAACACCACCTCACTTGTTCCAACCATCTACCACTCTGTTTGCGAAAGTGAATTTTTGTATAATTCTAAAGCAGCTTTGTTTAGCTTAAATCTGTGACCTATTGTTCTTGAAGTACCAGGTCTCGGGAATTCTTCCCTATAAATTTTGTAGATTCCCATTACTAATTTGTACGAAGTGATCATATTGCCTCTTTTTCTCCTATCTTCTAGTTTTGGCAGTGTGCAGCTAGGCTAGGACTGGCGTGCAAGCCGCTCACCGTAATTATCGGCAACATAAAATGCCTAGAGCAATGGCACAAGATCCTGGGGAGATCTTGCCAGATATAGGCTGTCTGATTCTCGCCTGGAGATGCAGGAAAAACAGATGCGGATATTGTTATATATTAAATATTGTTCCAGCAATATTTTTAATGCTTGCTGGGAGTGTGTTGAACAATTGTGGACCCCTAATATTCAGACAGTGATTTCTGATTGTGCCTATGGCACTTATACTTCTCACTGGTTCTGTTCTGCATTTCCTTCTGTACCTTTCGCTCCAGTATGTTATTCTACTGTGCAAATTTGGGACCTGGCCTTCAGGTATCTTCCTTGTACCTGTATATATTATTTGATACCTTTCTCGTCTCCTTTCCAGAGAGTACATTTTAAGGGCTTCGAGATGGTCCCAGTAATTTAAATGCTTTATCATTTCTATGCGTGCTATACATGTTCTTTGTATTCCCTGTAATTCAGAGATCTCTCCTACTCTGAAAGAGAAAGCGAGTATGGAGCAATACTCAAGAGGGGACAGCACCAGTGATTTAAATAGTATTAGCATTGCTGTAGGATCTCTGGATTTGAATGTTCTCATAATCCATCCTATCATTTTCCTGGCAGCTGCTATATATGCTCGGTTATGTTCACTAAATGTCAGGTCGTCAGTATCTTCTGTCCAGACGATACCCTCTGGTTATCTGAATTTCTGTCCGGATATGGCAAAGTTTGGCAGAAAATTATCTGAATATTTTGTCCAGATAACCCAAATATTTTGCTTGGCAGGCTTCAGGTAATCGAGCTCATACAGTATCTGCATCTTAATGTGTGTCTCATTTATCTCCAGCATTTTTTTTCTTACTCAATCTGTTTGTATATATATATGATTTTGAGGACCATGTTCCTTTTCACTTTGTCCTTTACTTTTTTTCCCCCCCTGTTTCTTTATACCATTTTACATGCTTATTACTGTAGTATTTTACTGTAGCAAATACATATTCATTTTTACAGATTTGGATGACGTTAGTGGATGTAGAAGGCTCTGCCATTAATACAAATCTCGCACACATTGACAAAATAAGTCGCATCAAGATTAATTTAATCTTGCAACGCAAGAAAGGAATAAAGGAGTGGGACTAAAGAGAATATTGTGATGGCTATCGAGTGTGTGTGGAAGAAAGAGGTTCTTCTCTCTCTTGGCAATCTTTGAAAAGTTTTGTGTAAAGAAAGTTTACCAAAAATGTGGAAAATGGCCACTATCATATAAATAAAAATAAGATGAAGACTCCTTATGACTAGTAAAGTATTGTTAAGTGTAATGTAGAGTATTTGAGGAAATTCATCAGGAAAAGTGAGTAAAACAAATGGAGAATATCAATCTTAAGCAAGTTGCATTCATAGTAGAAGAATGATTCAAAGTTTCTTTACTTTTGACATGGCAGAAATTGGTGAAGAGAAACATGGGTCGGTGGACTGAATATTCATGGATGAAAAACCATGCTTTTGATTAACTATAACTTAAAAAAAACCCTAAAGGAATCACTAAAAAAATTTAAGTATAGAAAGTAGTATAACTTTCAAGTTCAACTAGACCTCTTTTAAACCTTTGAATACCTTGATTACAAATATATTGCCATGACCTAGTGTCTTGCTTATATACACACCTAAACTAAGCACGAATTTTTAGGTGACTTTCCTGGTGTATCAAAAAAATAAAAATTAAATTTATCCATCCAATTCTATTCTTTTTGCCTTCGTGACATTCTCCCTCTCTTCCTTAACCACTGTACTGTATTGCGCAGAGTGCCCTAACATGCTCCGAGAACAAATCCACAAGGGCCACGACGAGGATTCGAACCGACGTCCGAGAGCATCCCAGACGCTGCCTTAATCGATTGTAGTGTAGTGTTCCGAGTTGTGCTTTTTTTTTATTAGGCTATATTTTAATGCTTTTTTAACATTTTCATATTAATATTTTCATATAAAAGTTCGATCATGTTTTTCCAGGCTGCTTGTATGCTAATGGCTTTTCCTTGCTCCTCGTTCATGTGTTCTAGTGCTATAAATCTCTCATATGGTTAGATTGATGTCTTTTGGCTGCTCCATATCTAACCTACTCATCCCTCCTAGCTGTCCTTATAAAAAACTAGCAACACAGCAGGTACACTAGCCGAGTATGGCTTGTAATAATTGCATAATGACTTGCCCTTCCACGACAGTGATATTGTGGTAGGTCATGGTCAGTGGTGGTGGTGGTGTAGGGGCAGGTGGTGCATCCTCTGGTCAAGGCCAATATGCAGGTCGACTTGCCTCGCCCTGTCCTCATTGCTTCACAATGCATTGCCACATTTTCATTCAAATGATTTCTGCTTTCTTCTTTTTATGGTTTCCATCAGTTTACTTGATATTTGTTCACTTGTATACCTTTTAACTGTGATATTGCCTGTTAATCCCTCCCAAATTGAAAGAAAACACTGGAGCTCCTCAGCCCTTAGACCCCCTCAACACACAACAGACTCGAACCTATATCCAACAACATTGGACACACTTGTCTTAATAGACCAAACCTCTGTGCTGCCTACCTCTGGAGGCTAGCATTTTTATGGCCGAACTGTATGCTATCATGTATGCCCTTCATATTGTTTTCTATCAGTGCTCCTTTGTCATAGTGGTTGACACTCGTAGTGCTGTCATGACTTTGGAGTCTTTAACCCTCTACATGCTGTGGTGGTAAAAATCCAATATTGGCCGTTTCTAATCTCCTAACAGATTTAACCATTAAGCTGCTCCGGGCCTTTGTCACCTACAGGCACATAAAAAAAAAAAAAAAAATTCTCTTGTTAACCTGTTAATGTGTTTCCTGATCACGGGGAAAAAAAAATCTTGCAACATCCTGGTGCTCAGCAGTTGAATCCTTGCAACACAATTAGTTTAGACCCTGAGCGTGTACCGCAGGACCACGCCTAACAAACATTTCACTCCATCAATCAATTCTGATAATAAGTTGTAACAACTTGGCTAACAACTTGCAAATATGCCCACGATTTAAAAAAAAAAAAAAAAAAAAAAGTGGCATCTGTTTACAAGATCCCTGATGGTGAGGTGAACCCTGTGTATTCACAGGCCATTAAAATCTTTCGTAGTACTCCAACACGTCATATGATGTGATACGCACTTTTGGGCAAGTTACTCAACACGTCATATGATGTGTTGCGCAGTTTAAAGGTTAAACAGGTTGGGTTTCCAGCCATATTGGCATTTATTTAAATGAGTGTGTGAACACTGCCGCTAAGGAGGCTATCTATACTTGTCCTATTTCCCGAAAAGGTATTCCTTATTTCGATTTCTACTGTCACTCATTCCTCTGTGCTCATTGGTATTATGTTACTGGTAACAACCTGCATACTCTTAAGGGTTGGGTGTCCCTATGGCCTACCACCATAACCAGTGGTGGAAAACGGCTCTGGTGAGGTTACATATTGGCCATACACGTTTAACTCGCAGGCACTTAATGGAGTGCTGCTCTGCTTCTTATTGTTTGACCTGTATTGTTTCTCTAAGAGTTGTACATATCCTTGTGGAATATCCTGCCTGTCCCTCGACAGAATCCTTGGTGAATCCGATACCTTAGATATCTCTTGCCATGTGCACTTCTGTTTTGGTATTGGCATCCTTAGTGATACTTAATGCCTTTTATATATTCTAGCAACTATTGTGGTGCTACATATTCTCCCTAGCTTGGTGCCTTTTGATAATTGCTTCCTTCTATCTATTTTTTTTTATCATGTAAAACATTTAATTCTGATTCTGGAAAAATCTAAATATTTTGGTTTAGTCATGGTGAGGTGAATAAATGTTGAAAAAAACAAAATTTTGAGAATTTTAATGTCAACTACAGTATTAGTAATAGATTTCTCGTCACAAATATCTTCCTGGTCATTAAGTCCTTGAAATTTAGCAGTCCATGTTTCCAAGCGCACTCGTCAGTAGATAAATACTGATACATCCAACATGGTGCCAATTTTTGTAATAATGGCCAGAAAGGTAATGAAGGCTCTTAGGATTTTCCCCAATATTATGAAACAATTGCCAGAGGTCTCTAGTGTTGAATGACATCCAAATGTAATATTCAAAATTCCTAAATATTGTGGCACATTATTTTCAGTTATCATATGTTAATTCACATAACAATGCAGGTATCATCATACTGTACATAGATTTAAACCATAATAGTCTGGGGTTTTATACATATGGTATATATGATGGTATATATGAATATAATAGCTTCATATGGATGTACAGTAGTGTTTATCCAGACCAATGAATAAAATCCTGCCATTTCATGATTTGCTTACTATGCAACTGCAAGTATTATCACAAATGTTACTATGCCACTGCAGTAATTGTTGTGGTATAAAATTAGATTATAATTACATATTTGTACCAATTATGCCCACATGGCTTTCACAAATCTATATGGTTGTAATGAAGCATAAAAGGTCAACTGATGATTACTTGAACATGCATATGAATTAGTGGGAGGAGAAAGAGGAGCTACCTCTTCATATCCTCCTAAACTCATTATATGGGAAAGGGTGAGGGGGGGGGGCTAATGACTCATAAAGGCATCTGCTATTGATATCCGTGATGCAAATAGGAACTGCTTTTGTGTAAGCCAATAAGCCAATAGGCTTTCTGCAGATTCCTTAGTTCTTATTGGTACATAAATTTCATTCATTCACTGATGTATGAATGTATCAATAAAAATACAAAATTAAGGAAACTACAGAATGCCTATTGGCCCATACAAGGCAGCTCATATTTATTTTGTGCATATAAATAAATGCCAGTCTATAACATGTCATATTGGGGGGACTAATTATACTATAGATTGGCATTTTAAAATAATCTTTCACGTACTCTTTAGATGCAGTCTTGTCAAATTTGCTTTCATACAAAACATGAATGTTAACCTGGCATTGTTACTGTCGACTCTTGCCTTTCTCAGTCCCTCGATATAAGCCTAATGTGTATGAATACACTCTGGCTTCCTGTCCCCTGACACAATGAATTATATTAAATTATTAAAATTACCTTATTCCCATAACCTTCGTGCCTATCGTCTCGCTCCCTTGCCTTAATCTCACTCTTTCTTAACATCTTACCTTATAAATTGGCTCTACCACTCTTATTCCACTACACCACTTGATGATAATCCACGATGGACTGAAATGGCATCGGTTCTTTTTCAGATTTGTGGGTTGGATACCCACTAGTTTGTTCCTTCCCCTGCTCTACCCACTTGGTGGACCTTTAATGTCAACTTTTTCCCTTTACAGATATATTCGAGAAGAGGATGAAACAGACCAGGTTGAAGGAGGAGCAGAGGAACAAAAAGTATAGACCCAAGAAAGTGTAGCTACTGCCTTACAATTTGAGAAGCTAATTTTAGTACCCGTAAGTCTTAAGTTGCTGCAATTAGTGTAGCTGCAGATCAATTCCTAAAAAATTATAGGAATGAATGCCTTTAAAAAAAGATAGTATAATATAAATTAATTCTAATAAAAAAAATGTTGATTGTTCTTAGATGGGTTCCAGGGGCCAGATTCACGAAAGAACTTACGCAAGCACTTACGAACGTGTACATCTTTCCTCAATCTTTGACGGCTTGGTTACATTTATTAAACAGTTTACAAGCATGAAAGCTTCCCATTCAACCGTTGTTATTGCAACCTGTCCTCGACTCAAGTCCATTACATTCAGCTGTCAACCCCACAGACGCATTCATAAATTTTAACATGCTGTTCATTCAAAACGGGAATTTTCTCAAGTATAAATTAATATTATAATATATTAGCATATTGTGTATCAACCCATCCTCCGAATTGACAGTACGATTTAATACTAAGTGTAATAAGTACACTTTCTTACTGTAATAATCAGTGCATAATTGCACTTATGGGGCTGTTACATTTACCCAACCCCCTTCCCCGATTTAATTCTTCTCGTTTTCTGTTAAGACACTCAGAATTTTAGGATGTAGTTTTCGCTTAAATTTGCAATACACAAGTTTTTAATATCAGGAATTTCTTTTTTCAGGTTTATTAAACAATATAGATTTTATACAAAAATTTAAAATATCCTGAGTTACTTTACAATTTATTGATATATTTTAGTTTTGTTTTATTAGTTTTATAAAACTGTAATATCAATATATCTATAGGTTAAGTACTAATTGTAATTAAGAAGCAATAAAATTATTATCTTCAAAAACTAAGACGGTTAGGTGAGGTTGTGGTTTTCTATTCAGTTTTTCAGGTAAACTCAAATATTCACAATATATTTGACAGTACGATTTAATACTAAGTGAAAATAAGTACAATTCCTAACTGCTATAAATAGTACATAATTGCACTTATTTGTCTTCTTACATATACCACCCCATTTTTGGAGGACGGGCTGTGTGTATATATAGGCATAGGTTAGGTTAGGCTAGGTGTTTAGGTTCTGTTGGCGATTATTTGTATTTGTAGTACGTGGGTGGAGCATTTGTAGCGTTGTGATTCGAACAAAATTCGTCAGTGAAGCACTTGTTCCGGATATGTTCGAACGTCAGCAGTTGAGTCGTGTGTAAACCGCTTTTCATTCATAAACGGGGTTTGGCGGGTGCATGGAATCACTTTTGGATCTTTGTTCGAGGACGGGCTGGTTATTGTTATAAACAGCCTTTTGGTGCTTCGGAGCTCATTAGCTGTTTAATAATTGGAAACAAAGCCGCCAAAGATTGAAAAAAGATGTACAGGTTCGTAAGTGCTTGCGTAACTGCTTCGTGAATCTGGTTCCAGGTCAAAGCGCGCAGAGATTTTGATCGACTGTTATACACTTGGCAAGCAGACTGACCAGACTCTTGGAGTCAAATGTTATGTTACTTTATTCATGTTCACACATCACAATAAATATCTGGAAATGTATTCTTTCTAAATGTTGATGCTGAATTTTGTATTTGCGTGCTTACCTGTCCCTGTCTCCGTACTCATGTGTGTTTATGAAAGCATAGAATTGAATGTATGCCCCACTATTTATTTTAACCTAGCAAATTGTGCTTATACATTGAGACCTAATTAGAGGTACATTAACTTTGTCCTTCATTTATTCTTTTAAAACAAAGGTGTGCAGGTGTTTTTTTTTAAACACTAATCTCCTACATAATTGTCATTTCCTGTTCCCTAGAAAATGTTCTTAATTTGCTTGGCATAAATTACAATGAGTATATGTATAATCAGATCTGATTCTCACCTTATTTATGGTACGTAGTGTAGATGTGTTATGGCCGCAGGTAGGCACATGTCCAAAGAAATTTGTTTGTGACAAGGTTTCTTGTATTAAGGCAATGGTTAGATCGCTTCGATTGCTTTAAGATCTAGTCTTCATACTAAGCAACAGCCTAAAGTTGCGCTCCATACTGTGTGTGAACGTCTGTGTACAATGTATTTGTATTTTTGCATTTAATGTAATAGTACTGTACATTAAAATTTCTACTGGATGTATTTTTGAAAAAGGCTTAAACTTCCTGTAAGAATTTAAAAATGCACAAATTACCAAAGTATTATTATTATAACTAGAGTTGTGTATAAAGGTAAATTTTCTAAAGTACAGCAATATAATTCTTAGTACTAGGTGAATGGAATTTTGTTAATGTAAAACATCTAGTCAGATTGCCTCCTTATTGGATGAAAAATGGGCTATAGTATTTCTAAAATTTGTAACTTTTTTTTACCTAAAGTCAGTCAGAGGCAAATCGCTAATTTATACAGTGGAACCTCGGTTTTCGTATGCCCCCGTTTTTGTATTTTTTGATTCTCGTACTCAATTTCTTTGAAAAATTTGATTCAGTACTCGTTGTATGCCTCGGTTTTTAGAATTTTTTTTATACACGTACGGGTCCACCGAGTGCGTGGTGCTTCAGTGTACCAGTGTCTCCCGCTAGTGATGATCACGTTTGAAGTCTTTGTGAAGAATTTAATTGCTTTTGTGCTTTTTTTTTGGTTTCTGAACATAAAAGTTCTTATTATATATCATGCCATGGGTTCCAAAAAAGTCAGTGGTAATGTTCACCCTAAGAAAATAGTTGAGGATGACAATAGAGGAAAAATAAGAGATCATTCATAGTGAGACAATGTGAAGTCTCACTACAGACAAGTGCTAAAACGTAGGAAAAAACAAGTGTCTATAGACAGATTCTTAGTAAGACAAACAGTGAGCCACAACCAGGTCCTAGTGGTATGCCTGCAAAACACGAGAGAGAGTACCCCCAGAAATGTCATCAATGCTGTTATAATGGAAGAGGACTCCCCTTCCAAACACTAACACCTTCCCCCCCCCCCCCCACCCCCCTCCTCACCGTCTTCCATACGCCAAAAAGAGTCCTCAATGAAGGTAAGGTACCTAAGAGTATTATTCTCTATAAAATGTAATTTTTAGTTAATATATTTGGGGGTGTGGAACGGATTAATTCACTTTACATTATTTCTTGTGGGAAAATTCGTTTTGGTTTTCGTATTTTTCGGGTTTTGTACTGTCTCTGGGAACGGATTAAATACGAAAACTGAAGTACTACTGTATACAGTATCTAATTATAGGAAATCTTTGTTGATAAGCTTGAGTATACAAAATCTCATGTTAAGACCTCATTATGTTTCTACTAACTCTGTACATAAAGAATTTGTTAAACAAGGGGGTATTATTTAATACAGAGACATGTAGCAGCCATTCGTGTAGTACAATGGTTCTACACGAATGATTCTACAATGGTTCATTGACGTGCACATTGGGCTTGGTGAGTAACTAGATTGGTAATCAATGTACACAACCTCTACCTTGGTTGAGACTATGTACATTGGTTACCAATCATGATTACCAATACATTGGTCACGTTTTTCGTGGTTGAGCGTACGACTCCCTGGGGTCAGTAGAGGTTGCCTCAGCCCCTTCTACTGCTCCTATCCTGGTGTTGGGCATGCATGCAACCCCCTCGAGAGTTTTGCTTGGTGTTGAGGGGGCTTGCATATATGACTAGAGCAGTGAGAGTTGCTTCGGACCCTCTCCTACCCACCTCTGGGCATTGTACATACAAAACAAAAATGTAAGAGTACTGTTTGGGTTAATGTACCATCCACTGGAAGTGTCACCTATGAGGGGCTACCCTTGGAGGTTAGTCCAGACTAGGGCTAGAGGAAGATTGAGGTCTGCACCAGTGTAGGAGTATGTATAGTGCAGTAAGACACCCATTATAAAAGTTGGGAAAGGGGGGAGGCTGCTTGGGACGATGCACCCCTCCCTGCACTGGCCAGCGCTCGACCCCTCTTGCTGCCTCTGGAAAGTGGGATCCCTTGACTCTGGTGTCTAAACTCTTAAAATGATGATTCATGGCAACTGAACAGATCTCTTAAACATAGGCTTGTGGGGGGCCTATGACGAGACCCCTTGAGTTGGATCGTGACAGAAGATTAGGCTCTGTAGCCCAGGCTATAAAGGATCCAGACTTGGCTTTATATTTGACTATTACAACTGACCCTCTCTGTTCTCCCACTTCCATGGCAGGGTCAAGCTCCTAGCTCTCAGTGTGGTGACTACCTTGTCACCTGAGCTGTTCCATCTTTCACTGTGACAACTGTGCTTTTTACCCCTCTCCCTCCTTAATGGGGGAGCACAGCACAGTACCCGCACTCGAAAACACGATTCCTTCAAACTATACTACAGTCCAGGATTTATTTGGCCCCACTATGTGGCCTAAGTATTTTGATCATCACAATGAACAAACATGACCTGATGACTGGCACATACATGAGGACCTAGTTGACTGTGGATACCTTTGATTCATTTAACCCCACCCAGACTGGCACACGTGTAGTTGTGGACCCTTCTTAGGAGGCAGCTGCTCACCTAACTACTTTGTCCTGCATTGGTCAGTCCTTAATTCGTCTTCAAAAATGCCCAGTTAAATGCCAGCATTGGCACAGTCATTCTGCACCATGTTGCGACTGGAGATAGGGGACCTCAAAGACTGCCATGAGCATAAATAAGTATATCCTCGAGCCCCAAGGTCGAGGATACATTCTATCGTCCCCCTATCTTCCAGATAAAGTTTAATCGACCCCCTCATGGTCGTCATCAGTCCCTTCAGGGGGCATAATCATTTTAAATTAAAAGATGTTCAATTTGCTTATAAATTTATTTATGAAATGGTTATAGAAAGGGCTGCAACTGGTCCAAGTTTCACCATCACACCCTAAACAGAAAAGGACAAAAAAAATACACAACGTATTATGCAACGAATTTTCACCATTTTCAAATAATCTCAGGGAACACATGTCAACTAAAATCCTTTCTATAACACTCAGATATTAAAATTAGCACATAAAAAAGGAATGTAGTGAGTAGTTTTATCAAAAAAGTGT